GGCTAGTCTTTCTGTCCAGTCCAAGAGAGTACAAGAACAGTTTTACCAAAAGCAGGGTTTTTTAAGCTAAGAAGAGACCATAATAAGATAGCCAAGGATTTGATCAAGATGTACTAAAAATAACTCAACGCTATGCTTTCAGCTAGCACCTAGCTTTTCTCTCTATTCTCTCAAACACCTAGAATTTCCCCTACAAAGCTTGCTATCTTTTCAAGGTTTTTTTTTTATATATTCTTATGTGGTCGCATAAAGAAGGCAGATGAAGCTACAGTGCAACTTAAAATAAATTGCATCTCTATTAAGTCAACATAACTGGGTGAAATACACAAATAGGACAGGCTTGGAAGTTCATGAAAGTCAGCTAGTATGACCAAATGGTAAAAAAAAGATTATTTGAAACAAGACGTCATTCCTCCAAAAGTTGAAGTTGCACCCAAAGAAAGGATCAGAAAAACAGAAAATTTAATATAATAATAAAATTAGAGAGGCTAAAAATGAGTGTACTCTTTTTTTTTTGTTCTAAATATTCCTGCCAAGATAATCAGGACACAGAATGAGCACTCAGAGAGGATAACGACACTTCAGAGATGTGAAATTCCTTCTTTGCATGAGTACAAAGAATTCACTTCATTCTAGACAAGAAGCCTTTTTTGATGTGTCTTCTGTAAAAGGCAGTCCTGCTTTATAAACCTTGGGCTCTTCAAAGGTGTCACCAAGTGTTCAGATAAGGGTGATCTGGGTAACACATGCTGCTTCTGATTTCAAAAACTACTGGCAAAGACCCTCACCAACAACATTGAAGGAAAGTAGGCAGCCACTGGAGAAGAGTTGTGGCATGGTTACATAACAGAACAAAATACAGTATGATCAGAGGTATGGAAATGGTTTCCACCTGAGATGGCTTTCTGTGATAGAGTGCTACAAATTCACAATGGGCATGAACAGACGGACTGTTCATTCTTTCTTCCCACACATGCATAAAGTGATCAAATTAAGAGAATGGGAACCAGAAACCTTTTCTTCCTTACCAAAGAGCAGGAAACATTCCTTTTGGCAGCTCCCTCCTTGCCAATAGATGCTGTCATGCAAGAGCGTTACATGAGGAGACTGGAAAAGTAGTCGGAAGAAGGGAATTCCTTTAGGGTTGCTAATCTGACAAACACAAAAAGTACAACAAATATGTCTGCAAAAAGCTTGAATTTAGCAACATTTGGATCATTCTGATAAATGAAAAGCCAGTCTTTATTAAGGCTGTCCTACATTGATGTAACCTGTTGCATAACCAGTTGAAATCAGAAAGCTGGCATATTTGAAGAACACTGCAGTAAGGTAAAATATTCACACCTTGACAGTTACAGAGAAAGAGGTAATAAATGTAAGGGTGGAATGAGGATACTATAATTCAATGCTTTATCATTGAGACATCCACAACTACACTGATGCCATTTAGTCTTTAGAAAGATTTTCTTTTTAGGTTTAATTCTATAGACGCTTATAAATTCATTACATTTCTAAGGAACACTAAACTCTTGGATAAGATTAAAACCTATCTGTTAAACTTTAAGGCGAAGGTTGTCACTTTTGGTCACGTTGTTATACATTCTTTATGTGGATTCTAATGTTGACCACTGAATGAACAAAATATCTGATACATTATTGCTAATCAAATCAAATCAACAGGTCCATCACACCACACAGGCATTTCTCTCTTGATGTACTTGTTTACGCTCTTATGTGGAACGTAATCTCTCTAAGACAACTCTTAGCAAAACAATAACATTTGTAAATAACAGCAAATTCTACTGTCCAAGTCCCTGTTTCAGGAAGATTTTCACATTAAAAGAGCAGAGCAGAGATTCCTTGATACTGTTATTGCTAATTTAATCATTAGTGATCATTCAAGACAATGATATGATGCATGTCAAACTAACAGTTGATGGTACAAATGACGGCTATCAGGATAACTCATAGGCCACTCATATGTGGCCTTCAATGTGATTCATGGATAATTTCTGAACTGTGAAAAAAAAAGATTGTCAAACCCATACATGGTATTAATACACCTTAGCATGGGAAGTCATTATTAGTAACTTGGTGACATTACTGTACCTATTTCCAGTAAGCATAAGCAAGAAATTCTGAACATACCCACAGAAGCTAAAAATAAAATAGAATTGTATATCCACTGCTGAAGTAAACTGTTTACTAAATATCTATTATTACGTTATAACACGTAAAATGACAAACTGCCAGTTTGGCTTACAGTACAGTACTTTTAAACAATAATCAAGAGTTGGCAGAGAGCTAGATAAGTGCTCGTTTACTGCATTTTGTATAAATCTAAAGAAATAAATGTATGGCAGGATGTCCTAATCTAACTTCTCTTGGCTGATACTGGGTTGTTCCTTTTTGCCCCATACATGTTTTGGCATATTTTCCAAGTCTAGACTGAAATGTCTGGAACAGTTACAAACTGATTATCATACAGATAATTTCTGCTCCATGTGTAAGGAAAAGAGCATAAGATCCTGACAAGAGATGAAGAGGCAGTGAGAAGGGTGCATTCTGAATTATCTTTTATATGGAAAGAATCTTGTAAGATTACACTAGTCACTGTGCAAAGTTGCAAGTGTGGGCAGTGTTTAAATGATACGTTTAAATGAGGAACATGCTTTCTCCAGATTAATGTTGCAGTCACTTAAATATATCCCTATATTCATTTACCTGCAAGCTCTCATCAATGTAAAAGAAGTCACCTCATGTCACTTCACATAGCAGCGTTGCATTCCTCTCTACAAAGCACTACATTTTCTTGTGGGTTCCCCCCCCCCCAATTATTATTATATATACAACTCCCATTGTAGTAAAAGTGAAGCAGGGTTGTATTTTTCAGAGTTTACATCAGCTCTTAGTTTCTTCAAGGCCTTGAGAAATGATCAAATAACTTTGTTATTGCCTTCGTCACATGTCATTACTGAATCTGAAGGACTGATCCATCCATTAGCACTTCTCAAGTAACTAAGCAGAGCATAACCTTAATTTTGACAGGAGAAAGAAACTATTAATGTGTATGACAAAGTACAAGATGATCATTATATTGAGGATTAGAGAGTCATTTGAATATCTATTTTATAAACCTTTACACTGTTGCAACAGAGCTGCAAAAGCCTTAAGAATGTACAAGTAAAAATCAAATTATGTGTTTATTATAATGATCCTATAGGACTTCACTTTATGTTGTAATTTAATTATTTTATTTATGCAAATAAGGCCCCCAATGCTATTGCACTCAAGAAGTTAAACACTTGACATTTTTACTCCTTAAAACGCAACACTTTATGATGGCTAGATATGTTTATTAATTAGTGATTATTAACACCCAGTAAACAACATCATGTCTTGTAAAAACACAATCTTTCTTCACAGCGTGAGGCTGAAATCTATTATTCACTGATTCCATATGCTGAAATACACTCAAATGATCACAAATGACCTTAAGCATTAGATAAATGTAAATGAGGACAGGGCAGAAAATGTGATTTTGATTGATATCTAAAAGACCAGGTTTGAAGTCTTGACAAGGGATGAAATCTGAAATTTCATATAAAGTACATGGCAAGTGGAAATCTACAACATTTAAGCTTTTGGATGGTTGTACCACACAGCCTCTCCTCAGCGGGGATGAGATCTGAGACTGCTCACAAGAAGTGTTCGGCGCATGGAACCTGAAAGACCATTTCTGGGGCCTGTGTGACCTTTGTCCACCTGGCAGGTACTTATTAGGATGCAGAGATATATCTCTAAGTTATATGCACGTACACCCTAATGAAGGCAGAATTTTTCTAACGCTAAGTGCTCACTTAAAAGAACTTCTCCACACAGAATGGCTGCATAAGCATAGGGATAAATGATGTGAATGATAGCCATGAAAATTGTATGGGTTTAACCCTCTATGTTAATAAGCTTATTCTGCTGTAACAGCTTGCCTTTCTCAGCCCTTTTTCAGCTTTACTTTTGTCACTTTGAGAAAGACTGAGAGCCTTTTTGGAATGAGAATCATCCAAAAAAAAATAAAAGGAAGATTCAGACACACAAATAACTATTGGCTCTTAGGTGGCCATCTCAAAGCATATTCTAATTCTTAACCCTATACCATGAATATGAAGCCCTTTACAACTTTCAATACTACAAGGCATGAACACACTTCAAATTTTCAGCTGCTCCCAGTCCATACTGTACCTGGAGGTGCCTTAATGAAATACACAGTTAAAACAGCTAACCTCAGTGGCACCAACTACTGTAGGGTGGGTCAGGAAGAGTTCTGGAAGTTATGTGAAACTGAATTCTCTGAACCTCTACACTGCTCACCCTCCAGAGCATGCCTAGGGGGATAACTTGGAGACAACAGAGCTGGTGCACTATGACACAAATTCTGGGTGTGCCCTGCATCCTAGGCCATAGTCAACGAGAGAAGGGTCTCAGCACACTGTGTCCGGTTCCCACACTCCCCCCATCTGTCCTTGCAGTGCCAACACAATACTGACTGCACAGACGGGGTGACCAAAACACCTCCCATCGATACTCCAACAACACCCACCCCAAGGGCAAATGGGATTTGTTCCCACCCTGAATTCTCAGAGGTATTTAAATTGAAACCTGCCAGTCATTTAGGTACATTCATCCCGAGCCTCATATTCAGGACAATGAGTTATGTTGACTCAAGCAGCCAAATTTCAACCATGCACTTAACCACAGCTTGAAGAGACACAGCATACGTTAAAAAAAAATATACAATGGAGAGCTTATGTCACCAAGATTAATCATACTGCATTTGCTATGGTAAAAAGCATTTTTTTCAATAAGTCTTGCATCACTTACCCACTTGTACATACATGATGTCAGCATCAGTGGTATAGGTCACATTTTCACACTTCTGAACACGTTTCACATTAAATGCACAATGACATGCAAGAATCAGTAAGAGCTTAGTAGAATCTTACCAGCTTGATACTTTCTGAGCCTTAAACACTCCTGCATTTTGGTTTCTTGTGATGATCTCATTTACATCTGCAGCATATTTGTTAAGAATTATCTACAAAATTGGATCAGTAATAAGAGTAATAATAAACACTTTTTTCCATTGCTAATACCTTCATAATGTCTTTTATCTGTTTAGTCTTCTTTAATCTGTGCAAAGAGTCAGTCTTTTTTCAGAAGCATAAATTTTACACTGCCACTCCAGCACATCAGCCATATATATCTATACAGCAACTTGCTCTTGTTGCCTATGTCCACTGTCCTGTAGCTATAGAGGGAATTGAAAAAGACTTCCCATACCTTATATACATTTAAAGGCAACTGTTGCTTATAAACATAAGAAATCCAACACACAACGGGAGCACCTTAACCTTTAGGTTTAGTCCATTTGCTTTCTTGAGAATGGTTTGGAACCACCATAAAAGATAGTGGAAAGCAATAAATGCCTTTTCTTCCACAAAGGTACTGCAACAGTGCCTCAGCCTCATGTCTCAGCTTCTCTTAGTTTGGAAGATGAGGTAAGAAATTTGGGTAGCCATTCAGGCAGGCCAAAGCAAGTGCTGTCAAGGGAAGCTGTGCCAAATCATCTATGCCTAGAAAGATAATCTTCATAATCATTAGTGGTTAGCAAGATGCCATTGGAAGGAAAAGGTGTAGCAAGTAATTAAAAGCTGTGAGAATACTAAATGTCACCCAGTGTGGATCCATACATATTTAAAGTATTTGTTCTCAAACATAAAAAGTTATCTCAAATGGACAATTTTGGTAAAGATGTCAATATTTAAAGAAATCTGATGATAATTAGAAGATGTTTCTAGGTGCTCAAAATACGCTGAATTCTTTGCAAGTGTTTTCATAAGAAAATGGACCACTAGTGTCAGGCTCATTTAAAATATCACTGTATCTTTCTATTTACTTTGCTGAAATCACATATCTGGCCTTCATAACACAGCTGGCTATTTAAGGAAAGTTATTTTAGGAAAGCCTCTATCCAAACAATGTAAAAGAAAAGACAACTGATATTTCATGAAGCCAAAAACTAGAGATGGAATGACAGAAAACTGGTTTAAACAAATCTCTGTGGTTTGGACGTGCCTTTTAAATCTTTTCCACAATATGCAATGAGAAGTTGTAATGAATAGCTTATACCTGGTGAAGCAAAAGGAAGGCATAAATAATTCCATGCTTTGCTCGTTTTGAGAGTCAGAAGGAACATTGTTGATAAATTAGCTACACTGCACTTAAATTATGTAACTGAGACAAACTATTAATAATTGTTGTAAATATGTTAACACTAGCTTTTAAAAATAATTTATAAGCCCATGTTCAGACATTCAGGCTGAACACGACCTTTCTAACCTGAATTTCCCAGGACTGCTGAAAGATCCATACACTATATCTTAATGGTCATTACAGTGCACTGCAACAACGTTTTGTATTATTGATGCTTTCAGACAGTAGTTCAAGTCACTAGTGCATAGTGTGAGACAGAGCGAAGGGAGAAGGTACACAGCCTCTCTGAAATAGGAGGCAACTTTTACTCATCCTTGGATTTGGATGTATAGATGCTTCCAGTGTCCTGAGGAAACAGAATTTGTTGTTCATGACTATCTCATAGATATTACCTAAGCTGGAAAAATGTATCTGAATGCATATCACCCAAAATCACAAAGAAGAATGAATCTGATAACTTTGCTTATGCATATCCTTATTATTCACTTGAATATTTACTGTATTTTTCTTTTTAATACTTTCTTTATCTAAATGATCCTGAGAGATAAAACACACTAAACCAACAATGAAGTTTTGAATGAAGCTGAAAAGGCAAGAACATCTTCTTTATTTTATTGATTTTGCAATATAAATGATCTGTTAATCAATTAAAACCTGGCCATGATAAGCACAAGGAGTGAGTTCGAGTGAAGTCTTTTAAATGGATTAGTAACTCAAATAATAATATCCTTTTAAAAACTTCCATAAACCTCATGCATAAGACCACTGATTAATATAAAATGCAGCTACATATTTCACAGTGAAATGGTTAAAATGACAACAGTGAATTTGAAATTAACATATTCATAAAATGTTTTACCTTGTAGTATTTCAATAACATATCCTAATGCAGATATTGAAAACATATATAGTGAATGCTTCACGTGGCAGTAAGAAATGGAGAATAACATGAAGAATGTCAAAAATTAAAAGAAAAATCAAACCCTCAAAAGCCTGAGACTTCAAAAAGCAAAGCTGTTAGTTATGCTCACTGAATAGCGATAACAACAACAAAAACAACAATAATTATGATGATGATGATAATACAAAGGCAGATTCTCAGATGCAATGCACTATTGCCAGGTCGATTTTCAATTACATTTCACTGATGTATTCATTTGTTTCTTAATGTGCTCATCTTGCCCATTAAGAATAATTAGCAGGCTTGCTTGGTGATTTCCTGGCTTCTGACAGTGATTTTTTTTTTCTTTTTGTTGACAACCACTTTTACTTTTTGGAAAGTAATTTTTGGGTATTATAGTATGACTGGCATGTAATTTAAGCTTCCTAAGAAATTTAAAGGCAAGATGTAAACAGTAATTTTTAAACAAGATTATTTTAATCTATAATACCTACATAAAAAGCATAATACTAGGCATTAACCATTCCTGAAGAGCAAAATCTAGAAAGGAAAACAGTGTTTTAGCCCACGTTAATTTAATTTGGTACGCTAAGCAATTAAAAAATACTATCAGAAATAATAAAAATTAGCAGAAATACATCATTTTGGTCTGTGACATTTGGGGGCAAATATTATTTCCAATTACACTAGAAATTTTTACTGTTTTCAGTGAGTATGGCATGGCTGGAACAGATCTAAATTTAGCCTGAACTTCTGTTATAGTCAGTTACTATAGAAAAGAATGTAAAAGAAAATTACCATAAGACATCATAAAATCACTACTGAGGTTCATAAAACACATCAAATGCAAGATAAATTTTATTACGTGCACTTTTAAGAATACACTGCACCTACACTGTAAACTTCTTAGTCCGCTGCACTTTGGCACCCTGCTAATATTAAGCCCATTGTAAAACCCAACACAATAAAAGCACTTTGAATGCTGAGCTTTCAGAGCACCAAATGTTAAAAAAGAAAAAATAAATTCCTGTTAGAGCCTTCCACCAATCGTTCCTCTGAAAGGGATTCACTGGGTGAATACAGATGAAGAGTTCTTGTGAGACTTTTGGAAATGAAAGATATTGCTAAAACACACTGTGAAAAACTAAGGTGTGTTAATTAGAGGACATGAACAGTATCTTTTTCAGGAACGAAAGGACTTTAATTTGTTTCATTCCAAAGACTGAGTGAATACTTTTAGCACTCCCCAATTTTCCTGGCTACAGAAGGCTTCTAAATTTCAAGAAAGTTCAGGTATGTTTATGGAATCTGCTATGCAAGATATGTGCCGACTTGATGATTACTGAGCTCACCTGAAGCTTTCTGTGGGTGAAATGACCTTTTGTTCAATACCTGTCCTTCTAGAAAACATGGGTTTGTTTTGCTAGGCTAGTTTTGAAACGCTTTTTTCTCCTACATTTTTCAACTTCACAGTGACACAGAAGAAAGGCTGGAAGGGGTGATGCTGATTAAAACACACAGAATAATGAATAGTTCCTCCTCCAGACAGGAGTACAACAAACTAGAATTTAACAAAATTAGAACCCCTGGACCACAAGTGAGAGCTTGCATTTTCAAGAAAAAGACATCTATAAAAGCTTCCTTCAAGTTTTAAAAGATATGGTCTAGACTTGGGCATTTTTCCATTAAATTGTTACAGTGTTGTAAGTAATTATAGTTACCTCAGTTACCCCAGAGAACGGCTTCTTAAAGGCAGTACCTAACGTTACCACACTTCAATGCCTCCTATTTTAAGTCAGCAAGTGCAATTTAACTTACTTTTTTCCACTAAGTACTCATTAGCTCTCAAATACAGACAAAACTCAAATCTAAATAATTCTGATAATGCAGTGGCCAAAACCTGAAAAACTAGTGTCCCTTAAAAAACAAATGGAAAGATTACCAAGGAACAAAAGCAAACAGATATCTTCCTTTTTTCCCCCTCTCAATTTCTAAGGGCTATTAGCATTCCCTGTATATATCTGTTCTTGTTCTGTGCTGATATTTAATGTAGCCACAAATTATGCTCACTCATTCTCTCGTTTAGCCAAAGTCTAGTTCAATTTTCTGAACTACGTGTCCATATTAGAAGGGCATAATAGCAATTTATTCTAATGTAGGAAATCTAATAAAATACTTTCTACAAGGGACAGAGCAGTTTTACAATCTTACATCAAGAGAAACAATGATAAATTGATAATTGATTAAGCACACTAAATGGGTAATTTGTGGGCAGTTATAACTTCGCCGCAATAATGAAGCCATGCATTTCAATATACGCTGGGTAAGCTATGACAATATACAAATAGTGGCTTTAAGAGGCTAGTATCTGAAAGTAAAAAAAAAACAACCAGAAAATAAATCCAGTTCTGCAAAATGGATATATGAAGGGGAGCTAATGGCTTGATTCATTGCTATACCTCCTCTAACGTGAGGCATACACACTAGGAATCTTTCAGCACTCAACCACAAGACAAATAATATTTACTACTGTACTTGCTCTATACCAACATGTACATTTTTAATTAAAGAAGAAAACGTGGCATTTATTGTGGGGGAAGCTGTAGTTCTGTTCGACATATTCCTCATCTATTTTTTAATTACTTATTTGAGGACTTTTTCTTAATATACCCCATGCTGTCTGTCTTTATATTGATTGTTACTCAGCCAGTAAAAAGGAACGAGCACAACAAACCAGTTTTCTATCTGAATAAGGATACTTTTGATGGCCTTTTCATTTCCATCAGTTAACAGAACTTCTTTGACATCTGCAGAAATAGCAACCTGAAAAAAAGAGCACAGCAAACAATGAGCAAATATGCTTGTCTGTGTGGAAGTGAAGACAGGAGTGACAAGCCTTCAGTATCATGCTTCCTCACCTATTTCTCTGTAACAATCTTCAATCTTTTTTCATTTTATGTCTGCATTATTTTAATCATTCAATCAAATCAGTCAATACTTTTATCATTCCATTTGCGGGAGCCTCTATCTTGCTATCATTCTGTTCCGTAATTGCATTGTGACAGCCGATGATGGTATTCTGAGAGGCTTTCATTTGCGGGCTTCTGTTTATCTAGTAGAGCCATCATACAAGGCTGTCACTCTGCCTTTCAGCTTGCTTCTGTCTGACTGCCTGATGCCCTTCATATAACTTTGCATTGCAGGCAGATGGCTTTGTAAGGGTAATTTTTTTGTGAGCTTTGACATGCTCGCACATTGGGCTGTAACCTCGACACATTGTATAAGAGCGACAGGTTTGTCAAATGCCAATCAGTGTAACAATATGCTTTTATTTGTAGAGACATAAAAACTTGTCTAATGCACTGCACTGCTACATAATATCTCCTGAATACATGACTCAGAACCCAGAGAATGGTGAACGACTCTCCTGAATGGCCAATCTAATTCAAAAGAATCTAATTACCGAGAGCTCTGGATCATGTTTGTTGGTGTAATAATGCAGGCAAAACATTAGCAGCTATATCATGGTGCTCCAACTGTGATTCGCCAGGCTATTCCTGTATCTTAGCAAATGGGACTATAATCTGAAAAAAAAAAACATGCTTCGGCTATGGCAATGAAAGACAGACCGTACGTGGCCTGGAATGTCACAACAAAAGATATTGACTACACGGAGGTAAAATGTTTCTGCTCATCGAGGCAACCATAAAATCAATATGATACGAAAGCAAGTCAATCTAGAAGGTCTCTCAAGACTCTGCAGCTTGACCGCAGCTGAGGCTGTTGACAGTTCTCTGACCCAGCAGTTGGAGGCACTGGAACATTTTTCCTTTTGTTTCTTCCTCTGAATGGGATTGGAATTGAGAAAAGACCTACCATGAGCCCAGCCAAGCATGTCATGCCACCCCCTAGCTCACACACAGCAAGGTCCCTGAAAGAGAGAAAGGAAATGGTAGAACCCATACAAATTAGATGAAAATGGTCAGAGAGACATATATGTTACAAGAACAAATTGCCATCTGCAGTAAGAACTGAGCTACCAGGAAGTTGTAGAGACATGACTAGGCTACCTCATGTCGTTTTGCGTTTTAAAAATAATTATGAAATAGAAAAGTCACAAAGCAGGCAAATCAGTGGGGGTTCCCTCATTAGTGTTCAGTGCAACATTACCACCGCTGAGCTGAAAAATCTGAGAAGGTTCCCTTTTTTCCCTTGTCAATGGCTCTGTCTTTTAGAACTAAACTAGCTAGAGTAGCGAAAGATAATTGTTAGGAAAGGATAACAATGTTAATCCACATTCATTCTTGCAAAAACAGTTAGAGAAGTAAATGGGGAAATTAATATTATTTATATATCTCTCCATATAGTTATGCCTAAAAGCCTTTCTATATTAAAAAGAGAAAAGTTTTAAAACAAGCCATATACCACAAAACAATTACACATTAAGAAATCCGATCCTTCAATTAGCACTTAAAACTGCAAGTGACCTACAAAGAATGCTGTTATGAACAACGATGGGAACAGCAAACAGTTAAGCCACAGAAAACTAAACGAAGTTAGTGTCAAGAGCCTAAACTGAGCCCGAGCAGAGGGTTGAATACATGGTCTGAAAGGCTGCTTTTAACTTAGACCATACTGTGCTGTTATTAAGCCGTGCATCTGAAATATAATTTGGCGCAGAGAGCGTGCCGGATGGGAGCTTGCAGGGGGAGCCACAAAGAATGTCCTCCAGAGCCATGGCCTGCCCCAGGGGAGGAGGAGGGAGGGATGCTGACCCCGCGCTGAAACTGTGTGAAGTGGCATCTGGGGCAAGGCACAGCCTCAGTTTAGGAACATGCTGCTTTATAGCTAAATCTGCGGCAACTGTTACAGCTGGCAGAAACCTCCCCATGGAGACATTTCTGACAGTCAGAAAATGGAATTTAAATGGAATTTCAGCTAACCAGAATTTTTTAATTATTATTATTTTTATTTTTATTTTTTGGGTACACCTTTTCTTGTCCTCTATAATACCAACATTTTGAAAATCAATTTTTTTATGTGAAAGTCTTACCACCCTACTCACTCGACATTGATATTTAGGAAGAGCATCTAGGAAGCCATATCAGTATCAGTATACAGATGCTGGTATTTTGTTCACTGAGGCCAGTGGACTAGGCTGTATGACTGTATATTAATGCTTGCTGCCTGTCTGCCTGCAATAGATTTATTTTTCTTAGACGCCACAAATTTTACCCGAAAAAAGTCTAGTTGTCCTATTTAATGGAAATGGGACAAAAGGCATAGTTCAGAGGAACACTCTGTACATAAACCCAATGAGAATATAAAACAGATGCGGGAAATGTGCAGTTTGTGCTTTAAATAGAATGATCATAGCGTTTTCCCCACACAAGTTTTTATTTATCTAAACCTAACACATCGCATATATAAAAAATATATGCATATGGTTACTTATGTAAGATTTGCAAGCCCCTTAATCCTTTATAAGAGTCACACTTATTGAAACAAACACAGAAAGTATCTAGTGCGGGGGGGTTGTTGCATTTTGAACCAAACTTGTATGTTCACAATATACTTATATATGTACATATATACATTTATGTGTGTAATTCATTTAAGTGCAATCAGCACTGAAAACATAGCAAGTTTTTAAAATTCTATCCTTCTCTCAGGCAATATTTAGTGACATTTATCAATGAAAATTAAAATCTCATCTGAGCGAACTGTTGAGAGGGCATAATCCTGAGAAATCAACTGCCCATTTCTTCCATGGGAGTTCGAGTGATAGCTGGCTCCGAGTGTCTAGGCTTGCATAACCAAACTAGGAAACTACCCTTTGAGTGAGCAGCACTGGGAGGTTTCCTGTGAAGAGCCTCTAAAAACAAGGACAGAGCATGAGCCAAAGCATGGGGCTGGACTGCAAAGTGTTACAGGGACACCACTACGACAGCAAATGTCACACATCCACCAAACGCAGAGGGAGGAGCTGCAGTTACCAGATCTGGTGTGTTAGCTGCCTCTTCTAATGGGGTGGGCTTTGTTCAGGTGGTGGATGGAGTAGAAATGAAGCAGGGCACGCTTTGGTGCCAGGTCTTTGATTTCAGACAGGACTCTGAGTAAGCTGCAGGAACCAGCTCACAGCTTTCAGCTTTGGTACAAGAGGCAAGGACTTAGAGCTTGGTCTTCATTATTTTATCAACACTGTATGTACGCAGACTGAGGGATTTTGTATACTCCAAGCTGGTTTACTTGGTATTAGCCTTGCACCCTCACTCAGAACACAATTTATGCCTCCAAATGCATTGTTATAATGGCTTTTCTTGCACCCCATTCATCCTTTGGACAATGAAACTTCAAGGATTTCCAAGTGCAAAGCTCTGTATACTCAAGGGGAAAGAGAGAGGATACAGGGTGGATTTTCTTTTTAGGTGTTTCTACTGGAGCCTTGATAACTGTCTTCTACAAGTTTAGAAAATGTGAAAAAAGAATAGCAAACAAAAGTGCAGCATGTGTCAAAATTGTTTCACAACACTTAGATACAGGTGTAAATTCCTCCATTGCTATAAGCAGTGATTATTATGTATTTTATCCGGTAATATTTTGCTTGCTTTCCCAACAGATGTTAGCTTAAAGAATGTCGTATTTTTCCTGACCTTCACAATCAGTACTGATCGATTGGAGCTTCACTTTTGTTTCCCAAAAATCAAAGTGAAATAAAACGCCTTGAGTGGAAATCAAAAGTCTTTGACATATAACAGAAAGCTTGCTGTGCAATATTAGTACCCAAAGGCAGCTCAGAATTCTTTGTTAAGAGCAACATGCTTTCACCTTGAACATTTTAAATTTAATGTGAAGACTTAAATCATAGCAGTCTTTACCATGCAGATACAATAAAACTAACAGATTGGAAAATATCTTTTTATGTTGAACTCTGTACCTGAATGTTTCATTATGCTTTAGGCAGTAGTAAGCCAGCACTTCCTCAGACGGCCAGAGACCTATAAAACAAAGATATTCACCTTCTTAGAACACTTTCTTATTGTCTAAAGTAATATTTGAATACATATTACCATTTGCAGACCTCTACCGTTTCGTTTTCTAAACCTGTCATAATACCATAGAATAAAAAACAAATAAGACTTTTAATGGAACATTTCTGATTTAAGCATGGGATCTGAATATTTCATAGATCTCATCCTGACTAATTGGAATAAGTCTAATCAGAATTAGACTAATCAGAAATCTACTTTATAGATACACACACATAAACATACACAATATATCTATACATATCAATGTCAAGACTTTAAAAGTTATATAAAATTTCATTCCACAAAACTTCTGATATTTGGGGCATTCACATGAACACCAGTGATGTTGCCACCCTGCCTTGTAGCCTGTTCCTAACAGTGGACAGGAGCCCCTACTTTTTCATTAGCTGTGCTCTCCAGTCATTTCATTTCTTTCCAGTTTTTCATTAGCTTTTTTTCTCTTTGGTTTTGTTAGGAATCAGTCCAACTGTAAGGGACAACTGACCAGCCACACATGCTAAGGCCAAATACAGGACAAGGGCAATAATAATGCAGTATAATTTCTAGTTGTGGCTCAAGAAGTTCCTGTGGGGGAGAGGAGACACAAGTTTAAAGTTCTGTTTAATAGTTGCCAAAGGATTTTTCTAGTTGCTCTGTGGACTGTGGCAAACTTTCCATAGCTGCACCATCCTACGGCAGGAAGCACCACACTTCTACAGTGCTGTATAAACACCTCCTCTCTCTTGTTTTGTACTTGCCTCCCTGTCATTTTCATTTGAGGCCCTCGAGCTCTTACATGGAAATAAACAGCAGCAATATTGGTTTTTGTTGTTGTTTTTTTTTTTCCCCCATGAATAATCTGTATCATTCACAACTTTGTAAGTTCCCATCATAAAACTTACACTGGCCATTGTTAGCATGGCAAGTACTTGGAGGCACTGGTCATTGACTTCGAGGCCTCCATGCACATTTACCCTTTCAACACCATCCACTCATGAAATTCACTGTTTCATCAGACCACTTTCCCACTTGAACATCTAAGTGAAGTGCTGTGGCCCACGGAGAGGGCATCACAGATCCTGCATGGCCTGCGCATCTCCTGCAGGCACCAGTCTCCATTGCTGGAGGGAGCCTGGGGAAAATGGGCTTGCATTCAGGCACTTGAGTTAGGTTTCCAAAGTTAAGGGAGGATAAATGAAAGGCAAATGCAGCCAAATTATGGTCGCATTTGCTTTCCATCTGTTGTTGCCTAGCAATGAAATAACATGCTTACATGTCTATCCACAGGTAAAAAGCAGGGGGAGCTTCCCCCCACAGCAGACAGCCTTACGAATTAACATGACAGAAACTTAGTATTATGAACTACAGACAGTTTTCATAAACTTAAAAACAAGTGAGAGCATCCTTTAGATATTTCTAGACAGGTAAACTGAATCCCATGCAGCTTGCTAGGTATGTGCATCCTTTTTTACGTCTTTTTATTCTCAAGACTTTAAAAACACCTCAATATACTTCACAAAAGTAGAAGTTTGAGAGAAAAACTATCTTCCTTTTAAATCACTTAGAGCCTGACTGTAACTACTGAATGTGCGACTCTTCCTTTCCATCCAGTAAGCATTCTAAACTACCCTTACTCACAGTGATAAATACTGAACATTGATGAATGTGTTGTCTGCACACAGATAAAGCAAAAGCCTTGACAGGATCTGGCCAAAACTTTGCATATAACATCTGCGTAACAATAAAAGAATAGAGTATACATGACAAAACCACTAAATCGATATTGCTATTTGTCTTATTTATGACAGTTTAGGCTGATTAGGTGGTTGTGAACGTGCCACTTGCTTCGACTTGCGAAGGGTTAAAATAAAACATTCACACAAGACTACCCATTCTTCAGTGAAACATACATTAAGAATTGTACAGGATTTTCCATCTCCCTTTTGAGCATTTCAGTGCTTTTGAGCATTGAAATATGCTAAAATGACAGATTTTGCAATAAATATAATAACTGTTTAAATATTTTAGTGTATAACATAAAGAATGTTTCAGTTTTCAGTGACTGGTGTATACTCAAGCAATAAAAGTGCTATTTTTCGTATTTAGTGAAGACACGGCTAATTTAATACCATTTATAATACTTAGATCTCGCTTCACAAAAAACCTCCACGCCCACAAACACAAAAAACCTCAACCTTTTCATAGCAAACTTTTAGGATGAGCGAGGTTTAAAAATACTTGTCAACTGTAGCAAAAATCCTTCAACATCTGACTTTTCAGTACCCTCAGTCAAATGTCTCTTCGCTTTTCTACAGTTATTATTGAAAGGGCACTCTGAATGGTGTCACTAAATCTTTTATGAGGGGTCACCATTCTTTCCCCTGCTACTATTACAACGTTGATACCAGCTGAAACTGCAGGTGTGTCAGATAGCTCTGTGCTGAGAGAAGGGTGAAGAACCTTTGGAAAGACAATGTTCTTCTTCAGGCGGATGCAGGGATGCACAGGATTCTCCTCCCTGCTTCCTTCTCCCATAGGAAAGGAAGTATCATCTCAGCAACGATAAAAGTGGCTGGCAGCTAAGGAAGCAGGAGTCAGGAGGTCTTTCATGAACACAGGTCTCAATTGCTTGCACGAACTCTATGGACGAACACACAGTGCTTCCAGCTAAGCCAAGAAGCCAGAATACCTGTGTTAATTTTAGTAAAAGGAAAAGCTTCTCGTGCTTGAACAGGTAGGTAAGCCTCTTTACCTTCAAAACAGGGATAAAGCTTAAAGATCCATGTGGAGGAGTTTGCATTCTGTCTTCTTCCTCTTTGCTCTGACCTACATTTACCAACACAATGACCTACATTTTGAAGTCGCAAGTATAAGATAGTTCTGCTTCTGTTAGAAAACATACAGCTGGAATGCAGCAATTCCTACCAGTTAACAACTACCACTAGGTTGTGAAAAGCGTAATTTATTTCCTGCAAACACATACATATGGATATGGATTAAGTTTCCCTTGAACACATTTAAAATAATTCTTTCATATTTAAAATCAAATTATTCTCATTTTGTATTATGAATTTGATTATAAATACATAACATTGGATGGGTACCTATTTGCATGTGCGACTACTTACACACGACAGCCAATTATTTACATGAGTATAGGCAAAAGAATACCAAAAGGCCTCCAAATATTGCTTATATTTAAAAGGCTATAAACATACCACAAATCCTAGAACGAGGGACTAAAAATTTCACTGTAGAAGCAGACAAACAAGAGTTTCTTTTTGCAAAAATAAATATTTTGCAGAATTTACTGGAGGTTTTAAAATTCTTTATCATCTCAACTACAAGATGGAAACAGAAGAATTGCTATAAAACACTGGAATCTCTAGTAAAACAAGTAAGCTGTGTTGGTGCTTAAAGGAGAGCCTCAAGAAGGACTGTGATTTGGCATGCCTGAAGACATGGGAGAGAGGCTGTGCTCATAGTGTAATGCCTGCCTGCATTTCTACTCTTCGCAGGTATCCTTTCACCACTAGGATGGAGCAGGAGATCCACCACAAATGCACCATTTGAGAGATGATGTGTACTTCCAGACAGCTTCATATTTACTACAGTAGTAGGGATAGGAAAACATTATCTCTAATTAGTATGATGATGGACGGAGAAATACTATATATGCAGAGGCATACAAAATGTAGGCATTTCCACAGCCCTACCATAAAATCTTACCACAGTAATGGAATCTACCTCACAAGAACTTGATGACATAACGAGTATCTCAGTTTAGCACATTAGCAACCAAACTAATAGACAGAGACATATAAAGTTACTTAAACAGAATGAAATTATGGGAAGGCCAAGTAAAACACCTGATCATCGTATTACCTTGAGGTATGATGTAAGCTAAAAGACATCCAAAATTTTCCTATAGAGGAAACACTAACAAAAACCCCAATAATGCTAAGAGCACATACATTAGGTTGGTTTTATTACTCTTACAGCACTTGCTAATGGAAAGTGTCAGGTCCTTCTGCACTAGCCATGGCAAAACAGTTCTTTAAAGCAACCTTCAACCCACATGGACTAAATCACATGTAGAAAGCACTGTTTTAACCATTAGATGGAGCACGACATGTCCAAATGCTGAATTCTGTATGATATTACAGAGAATTTTCTAGTAGAAATAAATTACCCAGTATTCAAAAAAATTAATAAGATATTACTGTTTCTTGTCTGTGGCTTTTTACCACATATTTAAGGAATGCTGTTACCCATTTGGATAACAATGTTGAGCTCTGATGTGAAGTTCTTAAAAGATAGCATGTTATTAGAAAATTCTAAGGATAGAGTGCTGAGAGTTTTGAGATGTGTCTTTTTATAGAAGACATTTGATTTTTGGAGCCACTATGTGTCTGCATTGCTCCATAGGCACAAAGAAGTCACAGTAGCTACTGATTACATTAACTGGGACAGCATATCAGTGGAACTGTTGTCTACTGTCTGCCAACGCTACACACAGGAAGCAAAGGGTCAACTGGAGCTGACAGGTGAACAGTCACCTTGAAGCTCTGAGTAGGCGGTGTAAATCTGTTTTACAACTACTTCACTCATGCTAGAAGATTAGGAAGTTCCATTTCAAGCTAAGCCAAATTGAAAGTATTGTCACTTTTCCCTTGCAATCTACACGGTCACATGTACAGAGGTCTGATCTCAAAATGCAGATTTTGTCTTTTGGTTGCATTATTAAACTATGAGATGTCTTCCTGCTCATTTGAAGTTTCAAGTGAACTTTTTTACAAATCCTATCTTAACTCTCAAAAGCAAAGACAATTTAAATTTGAAAAGTCAGTCATTTTCCCCAGATGAATATTCTCAGAAAGACTTTTTTCTACTATGCCCTGATCCTTGACTACATGAAGTCACCTTATTTGCTTTAATACTCATCGAAGCGAGATGAAAAATGAAAC